AATTTTTGAATTTTATTTTTGTGATAAAAAGTTAAAAACCTCTATTTGAGAGAATTTCCCAAGGAAAAAACTCAAAGTCATTTGATAAAACCCAAATTGATAAATATTAGTCAAATGTTATTGTTACGACTGATAGGTGGGGAATTTATGACCCAAGCCCAACGTTATTTGCGCATTTAATCCTCATAGATGGTTCATGCAGCCTAACCCCTGGCTCCTCTTATAAATAGCTACCATCACGTTCATTATGACGGCGTTTCTCACTGAGAGTGATCCAAAATCTTATGCATAAGCCATGTCTAGCTCTGACACAGACTTCTAGAAAGAAACAGTCAATAGTGAATTTGATTCTATACTAAAGAATCATACCTTCGAGATGGTTGATTTACTTTCAGGGTTTAAACCATTAGGGTCTAGATGGTTGTTCAAAAAGAAAACCGATGGCTCAACTGATAAGCACAAGTCCAGACTTGTGGTGCAAGGACATAGACAAAAAGAAGGTCTAGATTTCTTTGACACTTATTCTCATGTAACAATAATAACTTCAATCAGACTCCACGAAGCAATTGCTGCATTGCGAAATTTGGAAATCCAGCAAATGGATGTTAAAACTGCTTTTCTGAATGGAGATTTAGAAGAGGAGATATACATGAAACAACCTGAATGTTACGTGGTTGCGGGTCAAGAACAAAAAGTTTGGAGGCTCCTAAAGTTGTTGTATGGGCTGAAGCAAGCTCCGAAATAATGGCATGAAAATTTTAACAATGTTATGATATCAAATAATTTTCGCATCAATGAATGTGATAAATGAATTTACTACAAAAGTACCCCTTAGTGGGTATATCTTACTGTGCTTGTACGTGGATGACATGCTCATCATTGGTAGTAATAAAGATATCATCCAACAAACCAAGAACATGCTCAAGAGTCAGTTCGACATGAAAGACATGGGTCTTGCAGATGTTATTCTTGGCATTAAAATCACAAGGACTCGTGAAGGGATAACTTTATCTCAGGATCATTATGCTGAAAAGATACTTGAGAAATTTAAGACTTACTCTAGTGGAACTGCGAAAACTCATGTTAACGCTATGTTTCACTTGACCAAAAATGTTGGCGAGGCAGTATTACAAGGAGAGTATGCACGTGTAATTGGAAGTCTGATGTACTTAACCAATTGTACAAGACCCGATCTAGCGCATGCAGTTAACGTATTAAGTCGCTACACATGTAATCCAGGTCACACAAACTGGAAAGCCATAACCAAGGTATTGAATTATTTGTGATACACCAAAAGTTATGGGCTGCGCAACGGTATAGAACCAGCAGTCTTGGAAGGATACAGTGATGCAAACTGGATATCAGACTCAAAGAACTCAAAATTCACGAGTGGATATCTCTTTAAACTTGGAGGTGCAGCAATATCTTGGAAATCTTCCAAACAAACTCTGTTGGCTAGATCCACCATGGAATCTGAGTTCATCGCTTTAGATAAAGCACCAGAAGAAGCAGAATGGCTTCGTAATCTCTTGGAAGATATTCCAATGTGGGAGAAACCAGTCCCAGCTCTACGCATACATTACGATAGTCAGTCGGCTATAGCTCGGGCACTGAATACTCACTATATTGGTAAATCGCGTCAGATTCGACGATGACATAAGACCATTAGACACTTGATCTCAACCGGTGTTATATATGTCGATTACATCAAGTTAGCTGACAACCTTGCGGATCCGTTCACCAAAGGTTTAACAAGAGATCAAGTACTAAAATCATCTAAGGGAATGGGTTTATTGCCTATTACTAAGAACATGTTCGATGGAAACCCCACTGACGTGATTGGAGATCCCAAGAGGTTGGTTCAAAGGGAAAACTAAGTCAAGCAGAATCTATTAAAGCACTGAGAATTACTCAGATCCCAAGATGATGACAGTGCTTCCTGTAGATATTAAGGTAAAGCAATGGCTTTTAATGAGATTAGACCATAAATCTCCATATACATGTATATAGAGTATAACATGATACTTTTTGTGTATGTGACATGTACTAATGGCAATCACCTAGTGAGTGTGGAATGGGGCCGTTTCTAGGAGGAGAAGTTCAGGCAAGTCTCTCCAAATTCACTCATGACTACCAGGAAATTTCAAGGCCAAATTGAACACAACAAAGAACTTAACTCTACGAGAAGATGAAGCTGTGTTACATCTGCTGTCTCGGTTTACACAAAACTTCAGGTGGTTCAAGACATCACGTTCACCTCCTGAAATATAGATCCGGCAGGTTGTAACAGTGAGGCAGACGCTACTACCTCAGATGCAGACAATCTTCACTTATACTCTCGAAAAGTCTGTCTAGTCTAGTGTTAAGTCTAGTCAGTAGAGTCTATCGAGTCTGCATAATCTTGTCAGGTCTGCATTGTTTAGAGTAATTTCTATTCATGTGAGGGATTGTTAAAACCCAAATTTATAAGCCATTGGGCTGTGTAAATTTATGTTGTAATGTAAAGAGAAATGTGGATCAAATGTCTTTTGAGCTCTAACTAAAAAGCCTTTCATTTGAATTGCAAGAGTAAAAAGAATAATTCCAGGAATATGCCGGAATAATTCCATGAATAAGCCGGAATAATTCCAGGAATATGCCGGAATAATTCTAGGAATACTCGGAATATCTCGGAATAATTTCAGAAATATACCGGAATAATTCCACGAATATTCTTTATCCTAGGCGAACCTTTCTATATAAATAGACGTCTTACCTCTTCATTGTTTCTCATACTGAAAAGCAAACAACAAACAGTTCCTACAAAAACCCGAGTCTTCTCTTAAAGAGTATAGTGTAGTAGTTAGTTTGTAGATTATGTTTCCGGGTGCAATGAAACAGTCTCATCGTGGTTGTATCTTGGGATTCAAAAATCGCATCTAAACCGTCTTACATTACGGGCGATTTATTGAGTTAAGGAAAGAGATCAAATCTCGACTCCACAAATTCGTCTATTTCCTTAACGATTTCTTAAACGTTTTTTCCGTCTCATCTTATCGTTATACGATTCCTATTTCGTAATTTTCAATCAGGTTACAATTTAAGTTGTATTACTGTTAGCTGAATAAAAATCAAATCCAATTACACTACATAATATTAAATACACATTATCACATGGCAACATGATTAAAAGAGAAACAAAAAAACAAAAGAAAACATTAAATGCAAAGAAAAGAACAAATTTTATCTAACGCGCAAATTTGATTTTAATGCGCAAATTTGATAAACTTCCCCAGAAGTTTTCTACAAACGCACAACAGATTAAGCATTTTAACCCGAAATGGCCCAAACAAAAGGATTTAGTTCGTAGCAAAGACCGCACTCAGAATTACTAAATTCAGAGGGATGCAATCCCTTTTTCCTAAGTCCTAAGCCAGCTACCACTGACTGAGTCACTGGCCAATATAAATGAGTTTATACATTTAGTTAGTTATATATCATTTATAATTTATAATAAATTTTGTTTGATATTTTTGTCAATTTCAAATTTTAAAGCAGAATAAGATAACTGACGAGAATTATATTACTGTTAGTTGAATAAAAATCCAACCCAATACAATACAATACTATATTAAATTCACATACGGCAATATGATTAAAAGAGAAACAACCAAAACAGAAAACATATAACATTAAATTCACATTGAATCCAAAGCAATAGCTTTAATATGCTTAAGAATTTTTTTTAAATTATTCGTACTCCTGTAATATACGCTTAAAAAATGCATTTTATCAATTTAAAATTTTAAGCCGAATAAGATAACTGACGAGGTTACAATTTAAGTTGTATCACTGTTAGCTGAATAAAAATCAAATCCGATTACAATACATAATATTAAATACACATTATCACATGGCAACATGATTAAAAGAGAAAGAACAAAAAAGGAAAAAATTATTAAATGCAAAGAAAAGAACAAATGTTATCTAACGCGAATTTTAATGCAATTACTAAAAGTGTTTCACTCTTTTATATTGTTTGACTTTTTAGACATTCCTAAAATACTAATTTTCTTAATATTTTTGTTTCCGAGTTACTACTGTTTCGTTCGGTGTGTGTAAAAATTACAAAGCTGCTTTTAATATTACCATGTTATTATTCTACTCTATTCAATCGGTGTGTGTAAAAATCACAAAGCTGTGATTATTATTACCATGTTGCTATTTATCTATTCTATTCAAAATTGACTTAATTTTTTATACTCCGCTTAAATGGTACCTTTCTTGAAAACCCTTATCTTATAATGCCTTCTCCATCTCCCATAGTTTGTAATCTGAGCAAACTCTAGATGATCCGGTTAAGTGGAATGGTTGATTCCGGTTAGCTGTTGTCGCAATATGGGATAAATTCAGTTACGATCAAATATTGATGTGTCCAAAAAATGTTATTTATATGATAATTTCAGAATTTGGGTTCAACCCAGTTGTAGATCCAGAATTTTACTGATGTCTTAAATTAATTTAATTATTTAATTTGAATAAATAGAAATAATAATTTTAACTGAAACGTCAACAAATATTAGATAATGATTATATATAAATATGAAATTTAGAATATTTTCTTATTGAAAAATTGAAATATTATTTATAAAAGTAATTGAGAGGTATTTCGGACAAGAGAGGGCGTTGTGGCATTGCCATGCAGCCAATATTCCCAATCCCGACCATGACCTTTGTCCGCGCTAATTGGGGTGGTTCCGAAAGCGTGACATAATACGTACAAACTCTAAGAAGCGTACTATGTTATTTGCAATATAGACTTTCGCTAACAGTCTAGTTTATTTTAATCCTGAAGTAAGAACCAAATATAATAAAATACATTTTTTTGTGACTGAGATAAAGTAAATTTCTTCGTCATAGATGGTTCATGCACCTAACCCCTCGCTCCTCTTATAAATAGATACCATCACGTTCAATCAAGTAACAATTTTAACACTTTCAATCAATCGAAGGAAGAAATAATGACTAAACAAAACCTCTTCACATTTCTCTTTCTGTTCTTCATCCTCCGTACCGTTGGTGGCTTCGAATACCAAGACGATGAGCTCGAGAGTGAGGAAAGCTTACTTAAGCTATACGATAGGTGGAGGAGCCACTATCATGCACCTTTCAACGTAACGACTCAAGGAGTTGACAGATACGAGGTCTTCCGAAGCAATGCAAATTACATCATGAAGATTAACAAAATGAAGCTCCCTTACAAGCTCAAACTAAACCACTTTGCCAACTTAACACAGATCGAGGTTGTTGATATGTATTCAGGCATATCTGCTGAAGAGGAAACGACAACGATCATCGAAAATACTGATGTGGATCCTCCGGATTCGATGGACTGGAGAGAAAGAGGGGCTGTAACCGACGTCAAAAACCAAAAAAAATGCAGTAAGCTTATCAAATTTGTCGTCTATATAATTAGTATTGCTATATACGAAACAAACTATATTAGTGCTCATATTTAATAATGTAAATTGATAGTTTGCGATCTTATACTCATTGTAGACAGTTGTTGGGCGTTTGCCACGGTGGCAACTGTTGAAGGGTTAAACTTCATCACGACAAAACGCTTGCTATCTCTGTCCGAACAACAGCTGCTGGACTGCAGCTCTGAGGACAATAATTGTAAGGGAGGAACGCGGGGTGTCGCTTTTCAATTCATTGCGGAGAAAGGAATTACCACCGAAACCCTATATCCTTACAAGGAGATTAAGGGGGACTGCTTAAAAAACATTGAGGCGAGTGTAACCATAGACGGGTACAGCTGGGTAGCTCAAAACAATGAACGAGCCCTTCAAATAGCTGTTGCACAGCAGCCAGTTACAGTTTCAATCGATTCTAATAGTCCAGTTTTTACATCCTACTCAGGGGTAATCGAACACCAATTTTTCTGTTGATGTTGATACTCCTATTCTTTACTAATACATGTGCAAATTTTCAGGGTATTATAACTAATGGATGCGGAACCAAATTGTCTCACTCCATGGCAGCGATAGGGTATGGTACTGAGGCGAATGGGAGGAAATTCTGGATCTTAAAGAATTCATACGGTTCTGACTGGGGAGAGGGAGGGTACGTTCGTATTGAGAGAGGTATTTCGGACACGAGAGGGCGTTGTGGCATTGCCATGCAACCAATATACCCAACCTCGATCAAGAACATCGTCCGCGCTAATACGTACGAAATCTAAGAAGTACTATGTTATTTGCAATATAAGACTTTCGCTAATACTCTTGTTTATTGTGATCGTGAAGTAAGCACCAAATATAATAAAGTAAATCTCTTAACTTTTCGTTTTGCTATGAAACCAGCAATGCAAAGATTAATACACAGTTAACGCAAAACCTAAATGTTTAATGTTTCCAAAACCAGATAAACCAAACCAAAATATAAGCCATATCACATTTTCCTCTTGATACATTCGTGTCTGAAGGGAAAGTTCTTCCCCAGAAGTTTTCTACAAACGCACCACAGATTAAGCATTTTAACCCGAAATGGCCCAAACAAAAGGACTTAGTTCGTAGCAAAGACCGCACTCAGAAATTACTAAATTCAGAGGGATGCAATCCCTTTTTCCTAAGTCCTAACCCAGCTACCACTGACTGAGTCACTGGCCAATATAAATGAGTTTACACATTTAGTTAGTTATCATTTATAATTTATAATAAACTTTGTTTGATATTTTGTCAATTTCAAATTTTAAAGCAGAATAAGATAACTGACGAGGTTACTATTCAAGTTATATAATACTGTTAGTTGAATAGAAATCCAACCCAATATACAATACAATACTATATTAAAAATTCACATACGGCAATATGATTAAAAGAGAAACAACAAAAACAGAAAACATATAACATTAAATTCACAATGAATCCAAAGCAATAGCTTTAATATGCTTAAGAATTTTTTTTTAAATATTCGTACTCCTGTAATATACGCTTAAAAAATGCATTTGATCAATTTAAAATTTTAAGCCGAATAAGCTAACTGACGAGGTTACAATTTAAGTTGTATTACTGTTAGCTGAATAAAAATCAAATCCAATTACACTACATAATATTAAATACACATTATCACATGGCAACATGATTAAAAGAGAAACAAAAAAACAGAAGAAAACATTAAATGCAAAGAAAAGAACAAATTTTATCTAACGCGCAAATTTGATTTTAATGCAATAACTAAAAGTGTTCACTCTTTAATATTGTTTGACTTTTTAGACATTCCTAAAATACTCATTTTCTTAATAATTTTGTTTCCGAGTTACTACTGTTTTGTTCGGTGTATGCTGGGCATTCGGGTTTTCGATTCGGGTCGGTTCGGATTATTCGGTTTTCGGGTTATTCGGGTTGGAGTGTTTAGGAACCATTTAGGAACCGGAAATTTTTTGGATTGGATCGGTTCGGATAATGTCGGATTCGGGTCGGGTTTCTATTTTTTTTATAAAACCCAAAGTGGAACCGAATTAGAAATAGTTCGGGTTTGGTTCGGGTTTAAAGCAAAAAAAACAAAAAAAGAGCCGAAAAACCGAGTTAAACCCGGAAAATATTCGGGTAATTCGGGTTTTTGGATATTTTATTTAAAAATTATATTTTATATATATTAAAAGTAAAAATAACTAATATAATTACAATATTCGGGTACCCGTTCGGTTCTTGGTCCGGTCCCGGTTCGGTTTCGGTTTTTCGGATTTAGAGAAATAGGAACTGTTTAGGTTTTTGTAATTTTTGGTCCGGTTTAGGTATCGGTTTTTTTTGTTCGGTTCAGGTTTGGTTTTCGGATAAAATACCCATGACTAGTTCGGTGTGTGTAAAAATTACAAAGAACTTTTGGGCTGGCCGTAAAAAACACAAACTTTTCATTGACTTTATAATTAATTAAGAATATTTTTGTTTACTTGCCAATTTATCACACCGTCACTAAATTTAACAGGAAAATGTAACATCGTTTATTGTTGGCGTTAGGTGAAACGACGTCGTTTTCAAATGAGGTGAAACGACGTCGTTTTACGTGATTTAAAAATAAAAATAAGTAGACCCTTGGATTCGATCTAAAGTTGATTGGATTAATGGCAAGGAACTTTACCATTACGCTAGTGGCACTTTCAATGTATTTACTAACACAGTTAATTTTATTTGGTACTGATTGAATATAAAAAAATTCTTTAAAAACTTAAAAAATCTTTAAAATTTCAAAAGAACTGAAAATAAAGAAAGTTTCTATGAAATTAATTTTAAATTAAAATTAAAATAAAATTTTATTTTTTCTTACTAAAAATAAAAAACTTAAAAATTATAATTTTTAAAAAAACAAAATTGGTAAAAAACTGAAATTAGTTATACACACATAAAAAGATACCCACGTATTAAAATTAAAATGCTTAAAATAAATGTTTTACCCATTATGAGTGCAATTTTAATTTTTAGCTGATATATGTAACATTAATTATTTGCTTTTTCTTTGAATCTTTAATTATTTTGGAATTTAAAAAAAAAATTGAAAACTTTGAAAGATTTTTGATTTTTTAAAGAAAAATACAATTTTATTTTAAATTTTAATTTTAATTTCAAAATTAATTCTACAAAAAAATCTCTATTTTTTCAATTATTTTTTTATTTTTTAAAGATTTTTTAAGTTTTTAGAGAATTTTTTATATTCAAACAGTACCAACAAAAATAAATGTGTTAGTAAATATATTGAAAGTGCCACTAGCCTAGTGGTAAACTACCTTGCCATTTGATCCAATCAAAACAAATAAAATATTTTTTTCCTTAATAAAAATAAAATCTTCCTAAGTTTTAATATTTTGAAAAACAAAACTGGTAAAAAATTGAAATTAATTATACACACATAAAAAGATACCCACATATTAAAATTAAATTAAAATGCTTAAAATAAATATTGTATCCATTATGAGTGCAATTTTAATATTTAGCTGATACATGTAACTTTAATTTTTGCTTTTTCTTTGAATTTTTAATTTTTTTGAAATTTAAAAGAATTTAAAATTATGGAAGATTTTTGATTTTTTAAAGAAAAAATAAAATTTTATTTTTAATTTTAATTCCAAAGTTAACTTTATAAAAATATTCTTTAGTTTTTCAATTTTTTAAAATTTTAAAGATTTTTAAAATTTTTAGATAATTTTTTTACATTAAATCAGTACCAATAAAAGTAAATGTGTTAGTAAATATCCTTGTTAAAAAACGCGGGCGCCTAGCCGAAAATCGGCCGGCCAGGCGCTCGGCGAACGCATGCCGATTCGTAGTTATTTTATAGTTTGTGTACTCAAATTTTTGTTTCTGAATGTCTTCCAACAATCTATTTTTTTTTATCTTCTGTAAGTGAGTTATTTTTTAGTTTGTGTACTCAAATTTGAATTATAATAGATATAACTATATGTTTTCTCATCTAATTTGGTATGTTTTTACAAAATTATAATTTTAGTATCAAGGATGTTTTATACATAAACATTCATTATACATGAATAATTTGTATTATATATATAGATAAAGTATTATATATATAAAAGTATAAAAATTCCTTCCCGATTAATCCCCGAGTTTTTTTCGCATTTTTAATAAATCGCTAGGCCCGCATGTGCTGAACGTGTAGCGCCTAGCGAGTTTCCGAACAAGGGTAAATATATTGAAAGTGCCACTAGCCTAGTGGTAAAATTCCTTACCCTTTGATCCAATCAACCCGGGCTGAATCCAAGGGTCTACTTGTTTTTATTTTTAAATCACCTAAAATGACATTGTTTCATTTAACGCATATATTTAACGTCGAGTTAACACAGTCTTAACCGCTCATTAACGGTGTGTCAAAATGGTGAGTCAATCGTAAGTTTCTTAATAAACTAACAAAATCAACAAAAGTTCAAGTTTCTTTTGGCCAGGCTCGAGTACATGTTTCTTTTGGGAATTCGTGTAAAGTTCGTGTTTTTTTGATCGAATTCTCTTTTAATATTACCATGTTGCTATTATTCTACTCTATTCAATCGGTGTGTGTAAAAATTTCAAAGGTGTGATTAACATTACCATGTTGCTATTAATCTACTCTATTCAAAATTGACTTAATTTTTTATACTCCGCTTAGTTGGTACCTTTCTTCAAAACCCTAATCTTATAATGCCTTCTCCATCTCTCATAGTTTGTAATCTGAGCAAACTCTAGATGATCCGGTTAAGTGGAATGGTTGATTCCGGTTAGCTTTTGTCGCAATATGGGATGAATTCAGTTACAGGAAACATATCGATGTGTCCATACACTGTTATTTATATGATAACTTCAGAATTTGGGTTCAACCAAGTGGTGGATCCAGAATTTTTTTTACTGATGTCATAAATTAATTTATTATTTATTTTGAATAAATAAAATAATAATTCCAGTTGAAACTTAAACAGTCATTAAAATAACAATTATATATAAATATGAAATTTAGAGTGTTTTCTTATTGAAACATTAAAATATTATTTATAAAAGTAATGGTGAGGTATTTCGGACAAGAGAGGGCGTTGTGGCATTCCATGCAGCCAATATTCCCAATCCGGACCAAGATCTTGGTATACATAATTTATTCCATGATTTTTAATGCATGCCTCTCTTGCTTTCTCCGGGATTCCACCAAAATTGTGCTACTGCGCTCATTAATTTCTGTGTCACTGTTTTAGGAATCCGATAACATGACACAACATGATTAGACAAAGCCGTTACCACTGATTCAATAATCACTTTTTATCCTCCTTTGGTAAAAAAATTTGAAAGTCCATCCATTGACACGATTCTTTAGTCCACCCTGAATAAAACCAAAAATTTGAGTTTTCGATCCTCCCAAGCTTTCAGGTATTCCTAAATACGATCCCATCTCGCCTCTATTTTGAATGCCGAAAATGTCTCTTAGTTCATGTCTTCGTGGTTCATCTATCTTGTGTCTAAATTGAATAGACGATTTTTGAAAGTTGATCATATTCCGAGACTGCTTCATATTCCTTTAAAATCGTGAGAATAATTTGACAGTCCTCGTTTTACGATTTACAGAAAAAGACTATCATCTGTAAAGAGCAAATGGGAGATCGATAGGAAGGCCCTTGCAACCTTCAGACCAGTTCATTGTTTCTCTCATTCCGCTTTCTTAATATTAGCTATTAAAACCTCTGTACACATAATGAATAAATATATATATACA